TTTTTTTTTTTGCGCTTTTGTTTTATGGGACTTGTTACATTTCTTTGGTGCAGAAGTCTTCATTACTTTGTTTTTCAGGCTTAGTAAGTTGCATCTTAATTTAAGTAGGTATCACAAGTGCTTCTTAGTAAATTTTCATGACTATTAAAGCTAGTAAGTTAATTAGAAGGTAAAAAATTATTTTTGAAACAAGACGAAGCAGAGAAGTCTACTCTTCAGTTTTGGGAAAAATGAGAGAGATGTTGTCAGCCTACCTTATGAGACGAGTGAAAGAAGAAGTTGCAATTGAAATTCCAGCCAGTGCGGAAATTATATTGTATCATGGGATGAGTGACATACAGAGGAGCCTTTACCGGGCAATACTGTGCAAAAATTATTGTAAGCCTTAGAATAATAATCTTTCTAGTGATTTTTTTTGGTTCTGTTAACTTTTCTCAATTTTTGGGACCAATTTTTCTTTCAGATTTCTTCCAGCAAATGGAGGAAAGTAAAGGGAGTTATTCTGGTAGCAGGACGTCATTACTGAATATTATGATGGAGTTGAGGAAATGTGTATTGCATCCATATTTATTCCAAGGTAATTTTTGTATCTTTTTTCTTTCATTTCTTATGCTGCTGATGACTTCAGGTGTAGAACCGGAACCATTTGAAGAGGGTGAACATTTGGTCAAAGCGAGTGAGAAGTTGGTGCTGCTGGATCGAATCTTGGAATTCTTGAATGCAAATGGTCATCGGGTGCTTATTTTTTCGCAGATGACGAGACTGCTGGATATTGTTCAGGACTTTCTTACGTATAGAGGTTGTTTTGTGATTGGAATTAGAGACTTCGACGTCGTGGCTAATAAGCTGACCAGTTTTTTTGCGCAGGGTTATCATATGAGAGATTAGATGGAAGTGTTCGTGCCCAAGAAAGATATGCTGCTCTGAGAAGGTTTCAAGAAAGAGAAGCGAAAACTTTCTGTTTTCTTTTATCCACTAAAGCTGGTGGAATTGGCTTGAATTTGACTGGTGCTGACACGGTAATTTTTCTTGACTCTGATTTCAATCCGCAAAATGACCTTCAGGCTGCAGCTAGATGCCACCGAATCGGACAAAAAAAGCAAGTTTTTTCTTATTTTTTGCAGTTTGTAGTCTAATTCAAAAACTTCTTTTAGTTGTTGTTGCTTTCCCCCTACTACTTGATTTAGACCCGTGAAAGTCATTCGACTAGTAGGGAAAAATACGGTTGAGGAAGTTATACAGTATCGTGCCACTCGGAAGCTTCGAATGACCAATCAGATTCTTGGGTCAAAAACATTGGAAAGTACTTTTTTACTATTTATATTTGCTAAGTTTTATTAGTTTGTGGAAACTACGGGTCCATTCGAACTTTTCTCTTGATAATTTTCCAGAATCAGTTATTACATACGTAAGTATTACAAATATTAACATTTAGCGGTATCGTTAGCGGAGATGTTTTTTAGCGAAAGTTTGGAGGAATCTTGAATTTGAAGCAGAGAAGCTGTAGTTCTTGAGGAGAGAACCTTTTATGTTGGTCGGAAGAATTTCATGGCGGATTTTTTGTGCTGAAATCACATGAAAAAGTGTTTTTCAGGGGAAAGCTTGAGCGAAGTGGAAATATCGAACATGATTCTGTTTGGGCTTGGACAGCTCAATAACTCTGATGCTGGAGATCAGGAAGAGTTGTCTAAAGACGAAGATATGAAGCGGATTATTGGAGAGTCCAAGGACGGCGAATGGATTACGAAGAGCACTGATGATTTGTTGGAGGTACAGATTCGTTTTATTTTCGCTTTTCTTTTTTAATTTTTTCATTCTCTTCAAGCCCAGTTGTTTTTAGTACCTGCGGCAATACTTTAAAAGCATTTACGATTAGGTCTCACTCATTTTTGGAAATTTCATTATCTCTGTTTATTTTACTATCTACTAGGCGTTTATTAGGTTTGCAACAAAGTTTGCCATGTAGTGCGCCCCCTTTTTCTGAATTCTTTCCTGTTGCACGGTTCAGGTGACAAGTTGTTTCTAAGTTTTATTTCAGGTTACTGATTCCGAATGTAAGGGGGATGAAGTTTTAACTGATATTTCCGGAAGCAGTGTGGAAAATATGTACTTTTTCGAGGGTCATGATTACAGGAAGGACCGTGAGGTGATGGATGAGATAATAGCTGAAGGACAAGCTTTGGAATCACGCTCAGGCAATGGTTACTGTCGTTTTTTCGTGGTTTTTTGTAGCAAAACAACAATTGTTTCAGATGGAAGAAGGTCTCGGAGAGTTTTGCTGGAAAAAAATCGTACAGTTAAACAGGTGACTTTGCAGCGGGCCAAAGATCGTGCGAAGAAAAGTGCAGAAACTTTAAAGAAAAAAAGGGAAAAACAGGCGATGGAGAGGAAGGCAAGGGCAATGCAGCGAGAAGAAAGGAGAAGAATTCTTTGGAAGAATAATAGTGAGATTATCTTTTATCGAAATGCCGCAGTTCTTAACCTTAAACGGTAATCAGCGGTTCAGATAGCCACTAAAGAATTCTTGGTTACTGGAACTTTGCCGTGAATGGCTGATAAACGACAGTTAGAGTAGAGGTTTTGAAATTTAATTGACGAGTATGCGGAAGGGACGATTTATTACTCAGGTGGCGTAAACACGGTTTTAGCTAAAGGAAATGAATGAACTGTGAGTTCGGACGTAAGCGTTTTTGGTTCCAGTTTGAGGTCGAGCAGCCGGGCAAAGTAGAGGTTTCAGTCGAACGTATTTGGAAAAGATTTGATGTTTACTTTCTGTACACGTTTCTCTTAGCTAAGTGCAGTATGGGATCAGGAGACTTCTTTCATACTTATTCCCAGACTGTCTTTCTCGTCGTAATTTCTCGAGCTTCTTGTTAGCATCACGTGGTGTTTCATCTCACGAACGAAAAACCAGGTCATTACTCTAAAAATGTACTGTTGAAAATGCTGATGAGACTGTTGTCTACAAGCGATTTTGAAAGGACTTTGATTATGGTGAAATAGTTTTTGCTTTTGCGAGGACAGTATGCGGTGATAGCAAAATAAATCGATAGAACTTGGAATATTCCCTGTTTTGGTAAAATAAGTCAAACTGGCTTGCATGAAGTTTTTATTTCAAGGTTGTGTGGAGCGATAAAAGCTTGTCTCAGATTAGCTCGACCTGTTGTTTTTGTGATTAAACGATGCTTTGGTTTTAAAGGCGCAGACTGCAGCTGCGTGCAATAGTTGAAATAGTTGTGTCTGAAAGGGGTGTCGTCGGTTCTTTTTTTTCTTATGTGGGAATGCCAGAGTGATGATTAACTTGAAGAAGTCGTGTTTATGGGTAAAGCAGTTCTGAAAAATGTGGGTGTTATGAATGCCTAAAAATCAAAAATTGATGTATTTTTGGGAGTGGAGGTTACCGCAGGTGTTTGGGTGTTAGTGGTTTCGGTCAGAACTGGAGGAGTTCTTTATTTGGCTGTAAAGGTGCTTGTGTTTCTGTTGGCGTGCCTTGAGCTTTATGGCCGCATGGCAAGTATTACAGACTTGGCTGGGGGTGTGTACATGCGTTGGTGAAAGGGGTGTTTGAAAGTTCTTAGAACAGGGTTTTTATGTATTGTATGCGGGGGGTGAGGGCAGTGGAAGAAGCAACTGGAAGGAAGCATTCATGCCTGGGTAGTGTTGGATGGAATGTTGACCTGTTAAGCTTCTGTGACTTTCGTGGTGGGCAGTCTGGAAGCTGTGATGTGTACTATTTAAAGAAGTCGATCTATTTCTTTTCACTGGTAGAGTAGGAGGGTTCAGACGCCGAGTGCAGTTCTTGATGCTTGTGTTGTAATTTTTCTTTAAAGTGGCAGGTGATGGGCTTGCCTGTTTTTTTGTGAACGCAGTCTTTCGGAAAGTGCTTTTATTGTTTATAAAGAGTTTTTTTGGTGAGAGGTCGACTTAATTCTTGTGGGAAGCGTATGGGTGAGGATTAGCTGTATTAGACGTCTTAAAATGTGAGACCGATTGAAGCATTTGAGAACGTTTGCAGTGGCAGCGATTTTGTTTCGTATATTTCGGAAGTTGTTAACTTCAGTTTGTGCGGTATTGCAGTGTGCTGCTGGGGTTTCATGTTATTCCATTTGATTTTACCTATGTGAGGGATGTTTTCCAGTTGTGTTTCAAGGTCTATCGGTTCGTTTTACAGTTACTGTATCTTATTCTCGTAGGATTTTGAAAGCTATGAGTTGGTTGATGTTGTTTTTTTGAGAATGCAGTGTTTTAACATTGAAGTGGTGCGGCGGTGTATTAAGGCATGTGTGAGGCTTCCTGTCTGGTGCAGTAGAGCTCCAACCAATAGAAAAGGACACCTCTTCATTAGGAAGTTCTAGTCGGTGACGTTGGTTGGGGTGTTGTGGTTGAGTGGAGCTGCTGCTTGACGGCAATTTCATTACTCGCTCGTAAATTTTTTTCCAAAAATAAGAGTTGGTACTGGCGAGCAACCTGGAACACCTTTTTGACAACTCAGCAATATTTAACTGTAAATGCTTGTTTTGGTTCGCACCAATACTTTACATAGATTCTGCATGTGGATAACAGTTTAATTGTAGATGAAATTTATCAAAGTTTTGCCGCTGGGGAGGTCGGTCGCACGGTGCAGTAATTTTGAAATTACTGCTTGGTGTTCACCACTTCTGGAGTCGTATCTTGAAAGGTTGGGTTGGAAGTAGAGTATCAGAGTATTAGGGTTGATTTGTTCCTTGTCGTATGGACATGGGAAACGGCGTAGAGGAAAACGATGTTTTTAGGGGTTTCTGGTTTGGGCGTCCCGCATCCTTGCAAAATATTTGAGCGGTTTGCAGAGTGCGTCATTTTTTTTTGATACAGACCTGTTGTTTGTGCGGTTGAAGACTGTGCGGAGAAATCCTTAACTAATTGAGACGATTCCGACTGCTCTGATCAAATAAATTTAGAAACTACGAGGACATTCGAGCGTTAGCTTCCTGAATGTGAAGAGTTTTTACAGTTGGACAAGAGCTGGTTTAATAAATTTCAGTGTCTTAGATTATGTGGATAGCAATCTTCCACTGCCAAATCGAGAGACTGGGGACAATGATGAAGTCGTTCTTGACGATAAAAGTTTTGAAGAATGTGGTCTCGTTTACACTATAGGAGATGTTACGAAGCCAAAATTGAAATCTGATGACAACTCGGACCACGCAGTTATTGCTCATGTTGTTGACGACAGCGGTATGTTCATTTCTTGCCTTCTTTTCCCTCTTTGTTACTCTTGTTAGGCCTTATTTCGTTGTCAGGAAAGTTTGGCCACGGTGGAGTCTTTGACGCTTTGCGTGCCAAGAGTGGTGATGTCCCAAGTGTTTATGAAATGGCAGGGCGTATGGATAATTTGCATGTTGGTTATGCATTGCTAGTTGAAGATGTTGGCAAATTTGAATTAGGTAGTGTGGAAGTATTTCTACCGAGTGTTAGTGAATTGTCTGACTTTTGTTAATTTACGCTGGTTTATCATTGCGTATTTCGTCTATTAGAAGTTTTGAAATTTTGTTAGGGCACAATGGCAGCAGCAGCTCTGAAGCTTCGTATCAAAAAACAGTTGTGCCTGTTCGTGATGATGGTCCTTGTACCTCTAAGACTTCCATTGAAGGAAGAGAATCTGTTGTCTTGCTTGTTGCACAAAGTGAACGACATCGAGGTTTGTAGCTTTTTGTGTCAAACTGCCTCACTTATTTTAAGCACAGGCTTATTACGCAATTTAGATCGAATTTCGCAAGAAGCATTGGGCGAGTGTTTTTCCCGTCTTGCAGCATATGCGGAACAAAAGGGAAAAACCAGTGTTCATTTACCTCGTATAGGTTATGGTGTGCGTAACATTCAGTGGTACGTAATTGAAAGATTAATTAGAAAACACCTTACGGCGAAGGGAATCCCTACATACGTCTATTACTTTCAAAGAAGGTCGACTTTGCAAAGTGGTAATTTTTTATTTTTGGATACATTTCTCAAGTTTTTTTATATTTGCTCAGAAAGTTTCTGTCATGAAGAATGGGAAAAGTGGTACAGCAGTGAAAAAAACACTGATAATCAGACAAATAAGTGGAATTCAACCTTCTGTTTACTTTATTTCTCTAAAATCCCAATGTTTTAGTAACATTTCTACTGTATCGAGAAACTTTTTCTGTGTGTGTTTTTTTTTACACTGGGGAAAATTAGTTTTGTCGTTGTTTTAAGGAGCTTTTGTAAAGATGTTGATTTTTTTAGTTTAAAGATGAGAAGTTGATATTTTTTCTTGATGATTTCGTCGTGTTTTTATGGAAGAGGACTAGAAAACGAGCGAATTAATTTTGGCTTTTAAAGTTGACCTTTTTCTTTTTTGAGTTATTTCTAAGGAATTGGTTAAATTGGATTAAATGGCGCATTAGTACTACTTTTTCGAGTTAACTTAATTCGGTTTATGGAAGCACCATTCTAAGTGCTAGAGGAAAATTTATTTAGGTAAACTCAGGGAAGGTTTGCAGGAAGTTTGCTAACATTTAAAATTCATGCTTTTAACAAGAAGCGTCTGTTAGGGAGGTCATCAATTCTAAGTAGTGATATTTACTCCAGGTGGCCCCGAACACCTGCAATGAATATCGAGTAAATTAAATCGAAGTTTCCTTGCTTAATTCCCCTGTTTTTTTTCTTACTTTGTTTCGAAATTTTGGTATGATTTTTCTTCTTTGTCTAATTGTCT